CTGCTTGGACTTCCATTCAAAAATCTAAATTAAAATATGATTTTCAATTATTTGTAGCAGGTTTTATTCTCTATATTATTATTTTTAATTGTAATCATTGTTATTGTTTTATGTATTTACTCTTAATTTGAATTAATTTAAATTAATGACTTTTTTTTGTTTTTTTTTGTTTTGGTTCATTGTGCAAATGGTGTCAACCTGTTTTTGTCAATAAAAAACATTGTTAAAAAAAACAGTCACTTCAAGGATAGATCAACAAACAGAGTCTAAACCAAAAAAAGCCAGATAAGAAACTCCACCCTGAACCTGGACGTTTCTGTTTGCCCCTCAGGTCCGACCACCATGATGTCCGAGGGCACCAAGAACATCCTGGAGGCCATGAAGTCCCGGGGGATCCGCAAAGTGGTCGGCTGCATGTCCGGTGAGTTTTAATCATAGTTTTAATCATTAGACCCGTCAGAAGGACGAGGGCAGACTAGCTGGAGCTGCTCAGACCCGGTTCTGGGACTCATCTCTAAACACCAGATATGTTTTAACATGGTTATCTCCATCGTTTTTATTGGGAGGAACATTTTACCTGCCAACTCTGCAACCAAAACGCCTGTAAAAAGAATCAAACTGATGCTGTTTTTGAGGAAAAGATAAGACTCTGAATCTTTGATCCCGGCAGGGAAACTTATGGAGCTAAATTAATAGAAGTTAAAGAAGTCTGAGCACAAAAATCTGCCTTTTTCTTTTATTTTTAAGAATTTTTATTGGGGTTTGGGCTTCAGAGTCCTATCTCGTTGCTCTTTGGTTGACTCTGGGGAGACCACAGAAGACCACTCGGCTGGCTGAAAGAGGCCTGAATAAAAAGTGGACAGACCACAGAGGCAGTTTGACCCAAAGCTGTGCAGATCTGAAATATTTCCCAGGGTCTGTGAGGCTATGAAATCAAATATTAGAGACTGATTTCTGAGGAAGGGTGCATAAAATAGAAGAAAGCCTGAACTTTAACCTCCATTCTTACAGTTTTTTTTACTTAAATGAAGCATCTTAGAGTTGAAATATGTCATTTGACCCTTTTTTTTAAACTTAAATGAAGCATCTTAGAGTTTAAATATGTCATTTGACCCATTTTAGGGGTTCTTCTTTATCCTGATTGATTAATAGATTGAATAGAAAAGTGTGTCTCTGAGTCTAAATCATTGCCTGCACTGTCTGTGTCGCTTTTATTCAACTTCACCTGCAGCTTTCCTCCTGTGGGATCGAGCCAAAGTGCCCCCCCGACTCCTTCCTGTGACGGAGGACCATGACAGGATGTACACCGAGCTGAAGACGTCAGGCCTGGACTACGTGGCCGTCATGCCTCCTCACATCGCTGGTCAGCAGGACGTGGAGACTGATAATTCACTCCAAAAAACACATTTTTTTACACTTTATTCGGAGCGATGTCGATCAAACGGGCGCTTTTCTGGGAAAAATCACGAAATAAATACCAATACACAGGATGCTGAGTAAAAAAAGTGCATAAAAACAGTTTAAAATAGTCAGAAAAGTTCAATTTTATAGGTTTAATCAAGTCTCAAATCTCTTATGGTGAAGAACAAATCAGGCAGAAACACCATCAACAGTATTTATTGTTATAATAAAAAATCTGTCTTTATGTTTTATTATCCTGCGTCCTGTTTTGGGGCTTTTGGGGGACTTAAAGTGGACGAATGAATAGTTACATTCGAATACAGTTTATGTGAATTACTCCCCGTCTGCCCCCAGGCGACCTCCCTCTGACCCAGAGCTACCTGGTGGCCGAGCAGATGCTGAAAGGCAGAGCCATCTCCAAACACGACCTGGGCCACTTCTTTGTCCAGTGTCTGTCCACGGCCGAGTGGGACGGAAAGACGGTGGGAGTTTGGGGGGAGTACAAATGATGGCCCACGCCTGTTTAGGTTTTCTTCTGTGTCCACCAGCCATATTTTACATTCAGCCATCTAGACTGAAAGAAATAAAGTTTTAAGAAAAAAAAGAAAGGCCTGTTTTTATTGGTTTTGAGTGAATTTAACCTGACAATCTCATTTAAATTGTTTATGGAGAAGCATCTTCTGAATAGAGCCATTATATTCTGAGATTCTTCTTCTTCTCACCGCTCAGAGGAAAGAGTTTAAAAGGAGTTGTGCTCATTAGCACAGCTGCTTTTGCCAAGAGGTCTTTATATTAAACAAAAAGCTCTTTCTTATTGGGCCTAAACTCATCTATAAGGGTTATTGTTTAGGCTGGAGGTGGTGTGAAACTCCCTTTTTTCTCCTGGAAAATCAATTATCGTTTTTGGCGTCTGAATAAATCGAACAAGTCATGAATTTAGATCAATATAAAGAGCGTTTTTATTTCAAATCCGATAATAATTCATCGGTCAGTTGACTAAACAAAGACTTTGATGAGATCCTGGAGAGTTCAAGCTGCTTGGAGGAAAATTTCAAAGATATGACGGCCAGATTAAGAATTTTTAACAGAGTGTTTGCTGTATTATTGCTTTAGTTTACTTAAACTGAACTGAGTGGGATGGGTCTCGTTTTAATGGCTGAAATCTGCCATTTAAACCTTATAAAGAATTAAGGGTTAGAGATTTGGAGGTGAGGTTAGAGATCATTTCTGGTTCAGGATAAGCCAGCAAATTACACACCAACACACGAGCCCCCTGGCTTTGTCCTGGAGGCTCATACATCCCTTTAAAGGAGCCAAACTACACTTATAAGATGACTTTACAGTATGAAAGAAGAAACCGGAAGCAGTTTTGTAGCCCTAACCCTTTTTCCTCTGGTGTCCAATACACAAGCCAGGAGGATGGAGGAGAAGCTTCGGCTGTTTTTAACTTCAAATGTGTCAGAGAAGAGTGCTGTCAGAATTAAAAGCGAAAGCACTGACTCTCACAGGCTGCAGGAAGTCTCGCTGCTTTAAATCCTTCGTGACTGATGAAGTTTCCAGGTAACACTGATCCTCGTTGCATTAAAAAAACCGGCCTAGGTAGCTGTCTGTCCAGATAAAAATCTCTCCTGTGTACGTGTAGACCTTTGGGGGACCCAGGGTTTTTATTTATCCTTTTGCCTTGTAAATAACTGGCTGAAACTGGGAGTAAAGTGCGCACACACACGCGTGTCTCGCATAGTTTTGAGTCACAGATCTGTTCAGCTGCTGATTTTACTCTGATTATAGTCGCATTTAACTTTAAACTGAGTTGAATTTCGCCCTGTAATGTCTCCGTTAATTTTGTGAACACCCAGCTTTTAGTGAATAATACTTTTCAGATGGGAATGCCTCATTCGTTGGTGACGTAATCATTTAGGAATCACTGTTATGACAACAGGGACACTCTGATCTGCACGGCTGTCCGCTAATACAAGTAACAGTTAACGATTTATTTTAAATCTATTGATTATAATGCTCATTTAAGGCAAATTAAAGAAGTTTAATGTGCGTTTGTTTTATGTTTTTTGCGCGTCTTGTGTCTTAACAGGGCGACCCGCTGGAATGTGGCGCCTTTAAGACTCCATTACCCACAATGCCCCTGTGCGTGCAACCCCCAACCGTCACGTCCCCTCTGCGTCAAACTCAAATCACGAGCGGGATTCGGCAACTAGCGTAGAAGAAGCTGTGATGTAGGCGGATTTAAACTGCGCCCGCTTTTTCAAGAAGTTATTTAATCTCCCGTTGACTTCTGTATGGTCCTAGAGAGACTTTTAACGCTACACGAGGTGATTTTAATGAAGAGGAAGCTGGAAAACGACTCGTTAAACCGACAGTAGCGACGAAACTCAAGAAGAAGAGACGGGAAGTGACCCAACAGGTCTGTCTGCCGTTTGCTCACAACTCAGTTTAAAGTTCACCAGTTGGGTTTTGGGACGCTTTTTTAAGCGAGTAAAACACGGCCTCGCGTGTCAATGTAGGTCACGGGGCTTTCATTTTGGGTAGTTTTATCTTAGGTTTGCTGAGAGGCCTCTCTATCGGCCTTTTTTCCCTCCTACGCGGCGGTTCCAACCCCCACCCCGCATTCAAACCGGCTCCCCGGGTGGTTCCAGCCGGGAAAACCGAGAGAAAAAGGCCCTTCTTTCTGCCCCAGGCCGTTAAAAACCCTCAGGCAAAAGCTTAAGTGTGTAAAAAAGGCAGGAAACTTAATTTGAAATCACCACGTTATGACTTTTTCTCATTTATACTTCTGATATACAGCTTTTTCTGTGTTTTTAAAGTCTTAAAATGTCACCAACTCTATATGAAATATAGCCATGAAAAGTTTATCTGCTCAGATACAGAAATAATAATCTGCTTTACCAGATTAACTTGATGTGCAATGATTTTTAGTTGATTTTTTACTGAATATATGCAGGATCTTATTGAGTTTTTGCAATCTGGGATTGAAGCAGCATGTGAAGTTTGGAGGGAAAAATCAATGTTTGCTGGAGCTTTGCTCCCTGAAATGTGAGCCCGCTGACCCAAAGGCACCGGTCACTCCAGGCCGATGTCTCCCGAGTTATGACCAGTATTTTCAGCATTTTACGGTCAAAACTTATCAGGGAGAGTTGATCAGTGTACCGATCTGTTCATAAAGCCAGAGGTAAAGATGCTCCACAGCTGGAGGAAAAACAGACAAATACTGTCCAGTTTTTGTGGGAGAAAACTGAGCAAATTAAAAACCAATTTTAGGACAAAACTGACAGTTGTGTAATGACATATCTGAATGTTATGAGGTCGCTTGATGGCTCTTTTGTGCTTGTTTTAAGATTTGGGAACATGAGAAATACGACTACTGATGAGAATCGTTATGTAATGGCAAATAAAAAGCAGAATGGGGATTAAAACAGGGCTGATTTCTTTAAGGAAAATACAAAGTTGAGAGAAAAGTTTCTGCAGACATCCAAAAGCCAGTTTTAAACAAATAAATTAAACATTTTTTTAGCTCATATCCCCAGAAAACATAGCTAAAGGATGTTTTTAAAAAAACTATAACATACTTCTTAAACGTGGTGAAGATGGATGGACAAATCCAACCAAAAGGCATTTTAAGGTGGATTTTATAACTAGATATAATGAATAAAATAAAATGCAGTTGGCATCTCTCTTTTATGTGATCAACATGATTTAAATCAGAACCTTGAGGCCGTACTTTTAGATAATTTATTTCTTTTATTGCAGTTTCTGAGTTTCAGGATTTTAAGGCATTTTAAGGTGGATTTTATAACCAGAAATACCAGAAGTCAAATGGATGTAGAGTAAAAATGCAGTTGGCATCTCTCTTTTTTTGTGATGAACATTATTTAAATCAGAACCTTAAGGCTGTATTTTTAGATAATTGAGTTCCTTTATTGCAGTTTCTGAGTTTCAGTATTGACCAGAGCTTCCAGTAAACGGGTGTCTGCTTTCTTTCTCTGCTTCCGTTTCAGGATGATTCTGAAGGCCCAGAAGCGTAAGCTGCCCCCGCTGGACGGCGAGCCTCCGGCCCCCGCCCCCGCCCCTGGCGCCCCCCCCCCCCGCCCATGGCGTCGGCGTGTGGGAGTCCCAGCATCAGTTCCTGTTCTCCGTGTCTCTGCACAAGTACGAGCGCAGCCGGGCGCTGGCGGAGCCCAGCCTGCGCCGCTGCGTGCTGCTGGCCAACACGCTGCGGCAGGCCAGCCTGGAGGCCGCCGCCCCCCCGCCGGGGCCCCCCGCAGCCGTCGCCATGGCAACCGAGGAGGAGGAGGACTGGGGCGCCGCGGAGTCCTCGGACTTCTCCCTCTCAGCCGCCATCTCCTCCATCCTGACGGCGCTGGACGTGGCGCTGGACGCCCCCCCGCCGCCACGGACGCCGCTCCGGGCCGTGGAGAACCTGCAGGGGGAGGGGGGAAGGCCCGGGGGGGGGGCCTCCGCGGAGGACCTGGTCCAGGACATAGACATGGCCCTGCTGGAGAGGGACGGGGGGGCGCTCGGGCTCCGGGGCGGCGTGGCGACGGCGGCGGCGGGCGGAGACGAGCTGCTCCGCTTCCTGCCCCCCCTCTGCCCCCCCCCGCTGAAGTGTCTGCCCTCCTTCTCCTCCTTCAGCCCCCGGGCCTCTTCATCCTCCTCCTCCTCCTCGGCCCAGAGCCAGGGGAGGGACGGCTTCGACCTGGACCACCTGATGGAGATCCTGGTGGAGTCCTGATTCCCCCCCCCCCCCCCCTTTCCCCCCCCCGCCGCCACCCGGACGCTCACAGAACAGCTGGCGTGCCGAACGGCGCCCGCCGGCTATCTCTTTTTTTACGTATCTAACCCAGGAAGTAGTCTAGAGTAGCCAGGAGGCTCCGGGGGGGCGGGGGGGGCTTTTAGGGACCGCTACAGCTCATCTGTCACGTCGGGTCACGGTGAAAAAACTATGGCGGCGGCCATAAACGGTTTGTGGCCGCCGCCCTCTCACTGCCAAGCAGTGGCTCAGCCAATCAGGGGCCAGGACACGGCCTCCATCACAGTCTGAGGAGCCAATGGGCTGATTTTAAAAGAAAAGGACGGCCTCCTGGTGCCCAGAGGGAGGAAACCAGAGCAGCTCATGTCACATGATCGAGGGGGGGGGGGGGGGGGGGGGGGGGGGGGGGGGGGTACAAAGTACCCCCAGGTCCTCTGAGGGACCCTGAGCCCCCCGGCTATCTGAACCATGTTTCCCCAGAAGGCCGGGGGGGCTCCGGGGGGGTTCTGGTGCTCTGACCCGTTTTACCTCGTGAATTGCTGCACTTTTGTGGATGATGTGCGTTTGTGAGTCTGTTGTCGGACGCTGTTTGCGTCCCGTTCTGCAGTCTTTATAAGTGTATTTATAAGTGTTCGGGTCACTAAACGGTTCGTTAGGAGTCCCACCATGAAGACTAATCACTGGTTTGTTACCGTTTGATCCACTTTTATCTTCTGTAAAGATATCTGAACATTATCTCGAAACGGAGGCCAGAATGACCTCAAACTGTTTTCTTTTTAAAGAAAAACACTGTATTATTGTTTAATAAAATATTAAACTGAAACACTGGGCCTGATTCTCATTCATCACATCTGGAGATTGTTTAAAGCTGCAATTGAACTTTAAAAATATTCAATTAATTCAACAAAAAAAAAAAAGGACTAAAAACATCCAAGATTTAAAGGTTATAAATCTCTTTATGGTTAACATGATCCAACATAATGAAAGCTTTTATTCCAATAAAATGTGGCAGAGTAAAATAAGTCTAAAGAGAGAAAATGTGACTAAAGTGGTCCTTTTCATCCATGGCTCACATTTCAGATTATTGTAAATCTAGGGGTTCTGTCTTAAATTTGGGGGAAATTAGACTAATTAGCATTACTTTGTGACAAATGAGGGTATTAAAATAGTTTGAAATAGAAAAACTATTGGCCTGAAAAGGAATATTAAGGCTTAAATGTGTATTTTTAACTGGCTGCTGATAAATTCAGGTTTTATTAGACTCCTTAAGGTTTGCTGACGTCCACATAAAAACTTAAATATCCACTAAAATCAAAAGCACGCGTTTTAAGAGTCTGCTCGAGCACTCAGGACATTTTGCCGTTATTCCTACACCACTTAAAGAAACCGGGGCATTTTTAAAGCGAGGCACAACTTTTATTCAGCGACTGAACATTTAAAATAAACACGGCGCATCTAGTTTACAGTAATCCATCCATTTAAGTCATGTTCACACATTTTACAATTAAAGCACAGTATTTATTTTACACAAACAACAAAAGAAAGCACACTGACATTTGGTTTTCCAATAAAATCCTGTAGTTTTCCTCCTTTGAACCTCTGAGTCCGGAGCAGTACACGGACCGACCGCTAGGGGGCAGCACCACACAGAAAAACCCGCTCTTCCGGCCATTTTTCCACATTTTAACCCAATACACGCGGGAGAGGGGCCCCAAAACACGCCATTAAGTGAAATAAAGTGCACTAGTGAGTCACTGTGAACGTGACTGGGTGGTCTGGGATGAGGATGCATCCATAAACAAACTAATAAAAAAAAAATAAAAAAAAAACCAAATACAAGACTGGTTGTGTCTTATGTGACCCGACTTAGTGGCTCAAAACAAACGAAAACCAGGTGAAGTGACCCGACCCTGTGACCCGCTGTGGGTGGCCCACCGGCCCCCTCTGGAGGGGCTGAACATCTGGGGGCCTCAGGCCAGATGTGGAGCCTCAGGCTAGATGTGTAGAAGCAGTGATGTCTGGACCCCGGGCCCCCTCCGGTCAGTGTTTTTTACCGGTTAAAAATGGGAAAAGGAGGGATTGGAGTCAGTCTGTGGGCCCGGGAGTGGGGCTCCGCCTCCACGCCGTCCGCTGACCGCCCGGTCAGCCCTTGCTGATGCTGTTGTAGGACGGCTGGCGGCCCGGGTCCAGCGGGCGGGCGGCGGCCTTGCCCCCGGCGGCGGCGGGTGGCGGCGGCGGGGGCGGGTCCACGATGGGCTGGCGGTCCTCGTCCAGGTCGGACTCCTCGCAGCGCGGCAGCTGCAGCAGCGCCGTCAGGCCGTGCAGGTCGGCCATCTTGTGGAAGGAGCGCAGCAGCAGGTACATCATCATCAGCCCCACGAACAGGTAACCTGGAGGCAGGGGGGAGGGGCCAAAGGTTACCAGGGCAACAAGCTACCCCCACAACTAAATGTTCCATTTAACATATAAACAAACATTCAAAGTCTAAAGATAAATGCACTGAGCCTAGTCAGAGAAAAAATAAAAACACCTGGACCAGGACAAAGTCCAGTTTCTAAACTTATGAGCTCCTACTGGTCCCAGATATCTGGAAAAAAAAGTCAAAATAAAAATGCACACCAAAGAAAGACTGGGCTCTCAGGAGGTTAATAATCCATCATGATTATCTGGGAGGAGACAAAAAGCTCTAAATATGAAGTAATTAGATTTAGTACACTAGAAAAATTGAATATATATATATATAAAAATCTAATTACTTCATATTTAGATATACATACACACATACACAAACATACTTGAATTTACTGGCCTTGTTACTACATATTGTATAGAGTACTTCTTGTGCTTCTTATATGTACATATATATATATAAAATAAAAAAATATTCAATTTTTTGATAGAGAGATAAAGAGTTCATCCTTCCAGGAACCAAATGGGAGCCAGAGGGACTAAAGCCCCAAATCCACACAGATGTAGAGACACTTCCCTTTAAGCCCACCAGGACTAGAAAATAACCACAGAGCAAAAGGATCTAAAGGCCACTAAAGCCGCTCAGAGGACAGGAGCTGACCCCTGCTGTTACTCCTGCCCCGGTTCTGTTCGGCCTGAAGTCCAAATCAGCATTTACAGGGTTCCTCACAACCGGAGAATTCAGCTCTGGATGGTAAACAAGTTGGGATTAAAGAGGCCTCAGCTTCCTGCTCCACTCAGCACACAGCTAAAGAAGTTAAATACTGAATAAATAAGAAAAAGCAGGCGTTAGTTATGTTGACAGCAGAGAAGTCGACCGGCTCCAGGCTGTTACTGACAGCATTTAATGAGTCTGATCGCTGCAGAGCTCCAGCTGTGTGTGTGTGTGTGTGTGTGTGTGTGTGTGTGTGTGTGTGTGTGTGTGTGTGTGTGTGTGTGTGTGTGTGTGTGGTGGTGGGAGACTGACTGTTCAAACTCCAAAACAGCCATGTGAAAATATTTGCTCTGGTGTCATCATGCACAAACTGACCCTATAAAAAGGACTGGAGGAGCTCAAGAGAGCAAAACAGGCCTTAAGAATTATATATATATATACACATATATATATACACACACACATATACACACACACTTATTTTTTTACAGGAGAAAAAAAAAAAAAGGAGTAATGTTGGAGGGAAGGGAAAGAGGGAAAGCCTCTCATATTAAAAAGGTTTGACGGCTCAAAGTGAGTTTGTGCATTTAAAATGAGAAATATTTTCTCCAATTGTCAGCAGAGGCTCAGGTCTGGGCCCACTAGCCCCCCCAGACTGTTTCCAGCCCCCCCTGGCCTGTTCCAGGTTAACCGGCCCAGCCCGGAGCGCCGTGGCCTGATGCAGCCAGTGGGACTCTTTCTGAGAAAAGTGACTTCTCAGGTCACCCAAAGGTAAAAACACACACACAAAAAAGAAACGCCGAATGAGGGAATCAATTTCTGGTGTTCTACAGAAACCCAACAAGGGTGGAAATCCATCACCAGCAAAAATAAGGATACATATAAATACATAAATTAAAAAAAAAAAAGAAGAAAAAAGGGAGGGGGTGCATTCATTCAGATTCCTGCTTTAAGCGTTTTGTCTGATGTTCCCTGAAGGCCTCACGGTGCAGATAACAGACTACTTTTAGACAAAAAGCTCATTCCAGTCCTGATTTAATTAGAGGGAACACAGAAATCTTAGCTGGTGCCGGCTCCTTTCAGAGAGAGATTTACTGAGGAGGTTTGAGCATTTTTCAGGAGCCAAGACCCCAAAAAGCTTTGTTTGTGTGGACAACAAGCAGCTAGCTCAAGTACAGTAAACTTTAATTCCTAGAATTCGTTCCCCCAAAAAAATATTTCAGCCCAATAAAAGAATTTCAGCCTGCAAAAATATATATTTTTTACTATATTACCAATTAAAAATACATTTGGATTTTTTAAAGAATTTAAAAAATTTTAAAAACGAAATTTTTTGGTTTTGAAATTTATAATAAAATAAAAGCTAAATAAGCCGATTCAACAGGAAAAAAAGGCTCCAGTTCACTTTTTCCCATCGTTTTATGAAAATATCCGATCGGTTATTTTTTTGTGCTGTTTTAGATGTTACGCTAACAGAGTTACATGTACACTAAGTTTTAAAGATGCACTTTATTAATGGCTTAAAAATAGAAGAGGAAAAAGGAGCCTTTTACTGCCCTCAGTCACCAGGTCGCCCCCCCAGAGGGGACATTTCTCACCTCCACACTGTTTTCACAGCCCAGTGGCGACTTTAGGCCTAGGACCGTCCTCAGGAGAGCAGGCCTGAGCTCCCTCAGCCAATCAGGGCTGGCGTTTAGGCCACGCCCTCTCACACATGGAGCTCAGAGGATTTGACTGTTTGCAGTCAGACTCCCAGCAGAGGAAAATAGAGCCTCAAACGGGCTTTTGGAGAAAAACACCACCTAGACAGCCAGCAAATCCTATTGGATTACACTAATAACACCATATTATGGTTTTA